TGTATGCATGTCTGTATGTATGTATTTACATATGCATATGTGGTATTATATGATGTCTTATCTGTATATCATGTATATGTATATTCATGCAAGCCACTGATTAGAAACGACCCTCCCCCCTTCCGCCCACCCCCTCCCCCCTAAACCCCATGTGTGCATGTGTTTTCCGTGGATGGACCTGAGCTCCCAGCCCCCCACCCCCCAAAAAAACAAAGGCGTGGGTTTAGGTCGGAAGCGTCGAGGAGTTGAAGAATTCAGGTGTAGGGTCTATAGCGGTTTAGGGTTTAGGGGTTAAGCCCTAAACCGATATCTTAGGTTTTGGTTTCGAGGCGTTTAGGGAGTTGTTTCAGCTTCTTGGTTCTCTCAGGTCTGGGTCCGCTTCTACTTACCATCCTAGGAAGCCTTGCCCAGAGAGCCCAAATATCCCTTAATTAACGAATATGGGGGTTTCGGAAAGTAGGGGACCCTAATACAGTACCCTAAATAGTAGGATCCTTATTATAAGGACCCCCCAAACTAAGGTACCCTAATTGTCGGACCCTCTCATATACCTTGAACCATGATCTTCGGGCCCCTATAAAAGCTAGGGTTTAGGGTTTAGGGTTTAGGGTTTAGGGTTGGTTCCTTAATTAAGGGGCATTGGGTTCTCTGGGTGATCGCAAGCGACTCATAGTTGAAAAGAAGCCTGGGGGAGTTTGGGGTTGGCTTCTTGTGTACCATAAACCCCTAAACTCCGAGGTAGTACTAGGGAGACCCCTTAAAGGGTACCCTTCTTAACCCTACGTCTGGCTCTCTTAGAGGGGACCGCATTGAGAGCGTCTATGTCCCCAAAGGGTCTCCCCAATCCTAAGCTCCAATAAAGCAGGGTTCATATGGGACTTTCCGAAAATTAGGGGTACCTTAATTTGGGGTCCTTATAATAAGGGTCCTATTATTTAGGGTACTATATTAGGGTCCCCTATTTTCGGAAACTCCCATATAGAGCAGCCTTTGTTACATGTAGGATCTCCCTCGCGACAGTCTGGCTTCAGCTCCCTAAACCCTAAACCCCAAACCCCAAACCCTAAACCCAAACCCTAAACCCTAAACCCCAAACCCTAAACCCTAAACCCTAGACCCCTAAACCCTAAAACCCAACCCCTAAACTTCAGGCCGGAGACACCTCCGGAAATCAAGGCGCAGCGGGATTTTGTGGCTATACACCTGGAACCTAGACCCGAGCCAACACTTCAGGGTTTTAGGGGTTCCTTTAAGGGGTCCTTTCAGGGTACCATAAGGGTTCTATAAGGGTTCTGCAGGGTCTAGGATATAAGGGTTCCTGTAAAGGGATCTAATAAGGGTTCCTTTAAAGGGATCTATAACACCTGAAACCTAGACCCGAGGCGGGTTGACGGGAGCCCTTGACGACATACCGACCCAGAGAACCCAAGACACCTTAATTAATTAAGGGGCATTGGGTTCTCTGGGGATGCTGTTTGGGCAATCTTGTCGGCGTTCTCTGGGCTTTGTCTCCTGGCATTGAAAACTCTCCGAACCATCAACTTATAGGGTTTAGGGTTTAGGGTTTAGGGTAACCATCAAATCAACATCTAAGTCGCCTAGTGTTCGCGTCTCATTTTAGGGTTGCTCTGGGTGTGATGATGTCCGAAGTATTGCAAGTAGTGCCCTTCACCCTGTTTCCTCGACATTGAGTCCATTAACGTAGGGGCCTAAATAATTACCTATACTATTTTGGGAGGCTCCTTGTTTTAAATATAGTATAATGGGTCCTAAAACCCTAGTCTAATTTGTAAGGCCACTAGAGGTTCAGGGCCCTAAACCCCTACATTAACACGGAGGATGCGCCTGGCCTGCCTGCTGTGGTGGAGGTTGCAGAAGGCGCGAGGGAAGAGGGTTTCGTATTGCCCAGAGATTCCAGGGGTTTAGGGGTTTAGGGGTTAGGGAAGTTTAGGGGTTTAGGGGTTAGGCAAGTTTAGGGTTTAGGGGTTAGGCAAGTTTAGGGTTTAGGGGTTAGGGAAGTTTGGGGGCTTAGGGGTTAGGGAAGTTTAGGGGGTGTAGGGGTTAGGGAAGTTTAGGGGTTAGGGAAGTTTAGGGTTTAGGGTTTCGCCGTTCTTTCATGCACAGGCCATACTACTCGCTTTCGAGCTGAGTGCAAAATGAGTGAAAACATGGGCGCCCCGTCCTCTTCCTTTAAGGGCGTTTTTGAGCTTGCAGGAATTTAGGGCTTTTAGAATTTAGGTCGAGGGGGTTCGGGCTGGTTTTGCTTGGTTTTTTCGAGGATTTCATATCACTGTTCCGGTGCTTGGGTGCTGTAGGGTTTATAATGGGTGTGGGTCTGGGTTCCTGTCAGCGGTCCAGAAATGTTCAACCTCACTTCCGAAACCCGAAACCCAGAAGCCCAAACCCTAAATCCCCAAATGCCCAAACACTTCGAGCTTTGCCTGAGCTTTGCCGCGAGGGTCGGGGTGGTGCTGCTACCTCCTGCAAGAAGCTGAGGGAGGCTCTGAAGCATATGACCAGATCTTCTGAACCTTAAACCCTAAATCCCTGAATCCCTAATCCCTAAACCCTAAACCCTAAACCCTAAACCCTAATCCCCTAAATCCCTAAACCCTAAACCGAACTGTGGCGTCCAGGTGGGTCTTGGATACTGGGTTCCAGCTGGGGATCTTGGCTTTAGGTTGGGGTAGGGGTAGGGTTCGGGGCGTGCTGTCCGTGTTATTCCTTTAGTTCCCGAAAAAATTGAAAAGCATACAGCTAGCGTTTTGGGATTTTTAGTATACAAGTATACTAAAGTGGACTATGGTAGATTATGGTGTACTATAGTGTAATATATCCTGTCGCATTATACTGAGCTGCCCCACCAGGGTGCAGTTTACCAAGTCGACTGCCCAGGTCAGCTGCTGGATGGATGGTGGCGCGACTATGTCTGCCCGACAAGCTCGGCCAAGCAAGCAATATAGGGGCCTGAACAGCTAGAACAGGGATCTTATGTAGTATAGACATCTAACGACTTAGTAAGTGGTCATAGTAATTACTAGCTCTTCCTAAACCCAAACCCTACAAAGCCCTTTTTGCGACCCCTAGCCAAGACCCCAAACCCAAAGCCCCTGGCCACATTCGGACTATGATCGGTCTCCGAGTACATTTACCAGGAAGGCTACGCCACCGTCCCCACGGGTCCATGTATCCAAATAGTATATACTTGGCCTTAAATAGTCCTCATGAAAGTACTTTGGGACCCACAAAGTATATACTATCTGGGCACATGGACCATGGACCCTTAGGGAGTGATAGGCTTTGATAGCTATAGCAGGGTTTGCGGTGTTTTTATTATGGCATGATCAGAATAGGAACCCTACGGCATAGTATGCGTGATCTATACTACAGGGGCTGAACACGGGCTGGGTAAAAGCTCAACAAAACTTCGGTTCCAGACATACACTTCGTCGAAGCTGAGGTGTGGACAAGTCGCCATAGTACACCCGAAAGAACTTAAAGGTCCCACAGAAAACATGGGCACTCTGAGCCCGAAGACCTAGACTAAAACTCTAACCCTAATCAGGAAGACCCACCAAGCTCCGCATTCCCCGCTGAAAGCCTGAGCAACTTGGTGCCGAAGGCATTGCGGCCTGCAGCAATGTAGGGGCCTTTATCATTAGAATAGGTTTTTGGGGCATATTATACTATACTTATAATCCGGAACCCCCCAATACAGTATAGGTAAGTATGAAGGCCCCTCTATGAAAATTTTGTATAACCCCCAACGTAACCCTGTAAGATCCCAACAAAGAAACCGGTTTGGACCTCGATAAGAACCCACCCTCTAAGAACCCTATGAGAACCCAATAAGAACCCTAAACTTACTTCCCCAATAAGCCAGGGAAATAAAAGGTTGTACTTTCAGATTGCTACTATATTATAAGAACCCAAACAGTTTAAAGGT